GAATTCGTTCGGCCCAAAATGTCACGGATGTGTCTTTTTTTTGTAGTGTAATAACTGGATTTTGCATCATGCAGCTCAATATTCCTTGCATCAAGTTGCTTCAGCCAATCTTTTGTGTGCTAGCTTAGCTGAGATCATGGAGTTTTGAGAAGTGAGAAAAAAAAATCTAGTTTTGGGTCTCCGTGCAATTTCTAGGATGAACAAGTATATCAGATTCATGACCTTTCTTAAGCTCGTCTTTATATTTAATTCTCATGCATGCAGTGTTGGATATTTTTCTGGCATGTTTATGCCTGGCAGACAGCCGACCTGTAGGTTCAAATCACACATACCTAACTAAACCGTACTTTGGTTTCAAAAAAAAAAAAAAAAAAACTAAACCGTACTTTGAGTAGGATTTCAAATGTCACACCTAACACTGAGACATTTTCATAAAAAATGCTAATACGTTGGAGAATGGAGAAGATCGATAATGATGTTATACTAGTAATAAAAATACTTGATTAAGGAATTAAGGAAGAGGGATACATAGTTGATTGAATGGGATGTGAGCCCGTACGCCCGTACGTGTTGCGTTGTTCAAGAAATCGGAAGGAGGTCGCGGCCAGACCAAAGCTGGCCAACGGATCACGAATTCACAGGCTAGCCCGTTAGCACGCTTCCGTGACCTATAATGAACTCAACCTAGTGGGAGCTCCTAACGATGTTTCCTATTGGCGTTGCACGTACCAGGCGCACACCCCCTTCGACCTCGGCTTGGCCCATTTATGTATTTTTCTCGTTCCTTCGAACATAAAAAAGGGCGTACCTGGGATTCGATCTCAGAACCTCAATAGTTCATTCGTTTCAAAAAAGTTTAAAAAAATCAACAACTTAAAAAAAATCGATTTTGGAAATAGTTCATCCATTTTGCAAAAGGTTCATCAGTTCGAAAAAAATTCATCGAATTTGATGTAAAAGGTCTTTCGTAATGAAAAAAAGTTCACAAGTTTGAAAAAAAAGTTCATCGATAATAAAAAAAGTTCACCTATTTTGGAAAAACATCATGAATTTGAAGAGTAGTTCATCGATTTGGAAAAAAAGTTCATCAACTTGGAAAGAAAGTTTGTCGATTTTAGAAAAAAAGATCATGAAATTTTAAGAATAGTTCACGTTTGAGAAAAAGTTTATAAATTTGAAGAAAGTATTCAGATATAAAAAAAGTTCACGCATTTCAAAATATTGAAGGAAAGGAAAAATGGAAATAATAGAAAAAGGAAAGAAGATAAAACCTAATATAAAACGTCTAGAAAACTAAAAAAAGAAAAACCTGATCGAAAGCTTCTAGACGTTAAGGCACAACAAAAGAAGGAAAACAGATATGCAAACCGAAACATGTTGTGGCCGACCTGGTTACCGTGGTTAGGACTGAACCGCAAAGTTTTGAGATCGAATCCCACGTACAGTGTTCCTTGATGTTTCAAGGAATGAGAAAAAAAACATAAATGGGCCAAATGCAGAACGAAGGAGGGTGTGCGCCCGGTAGTGAAATAGCATTTAACAGACGCTTACAACTCCAAATAGGAAACACCGCTCCTAACGGGCGCGTTCAGCGCCAATTGCTAGTTCTACTTTTTGGACCGCTCCACAAAGAACTTTAGTAGACTCCTTTTTGGAAGCCCATTTGGTGGCTGACTGTTTCTTTTGATATTTCACGACTGTGCACTTTTTTTTAAGTTGACTGTCTCGCTAATTGTTTCTATATCTGCAGTTGCTAGCTAACTGTTTATCCACCTAATTTGTTTTGGCAAAAAATGCAAGAAATTTTAGGGTAAAACAATGAAAAAGAAACAATTTATTCTAATAAAGAAGTACTAAAATAAAAAGATCACAAATTACTAGCATATTTGTGATTTTTTTAATGAAAAAATTGAAAAAAGTTTATCAAATTTGAAAAAAAAACATTGATTTTGAAAAGTGTTCGTCGGATTTGAAAAAATTTCATCGAATTTGAAAAAAGTTCATCAATTATGACGAAGAAGTTCATCAAAATAGAAAAAAGTTCAACGATCTTGAAAACAAATCGCTGATTTTAAAAAAGGTTCACCAATTTTTTTTAAAAATTTCACATTTTGAAGAAAAGTTCATCACATTTGAAAAAAAGTTCAGCAAATTTGAAAAAGTTCAACAAATTCTAAAAAAGTTCATCCAATTTCAAAAAGAAGTTCATAAATTTGAAAAAAGTTCAATAAATTTGAAAAAGTTCATGTATTTTTTAAAAAATCATCAAATTTGAAAAAAAACATCCAATTTTTGAAAAAACCATTAAATTTGAAAAATGTTCATAAAAAATTGATGAAAAATGTTCATCAATTTGAAGAAAAAGATTACAAATTTAAAAAGTTCATCAAATCAAAGAAAAAAGGAAAAAGAATAAAAGAAAGAAAAAGATTCAGCTAACAACTCCGGTTGTGGTGGCGTTGTGGTTAGTGGAACATTTCCTATACGCATAAAAAGAAGAAAGGAGGTGCGTATGCACAAGCGACAGGTTGGCGTAGATGTTAGTAGAGTTATTTCTCAACAATGAGATCGCCGGTTTGGTTCCAATCGCACACACTTTCGCACGCTCCTTTTTTGAGTGTCAAAACGGAAGAAAAAATAAATAGTTGGGTAGGACCAGCGAGGGAGGCTTCAGACGCCTGTTTGTGAAATGCATACAAACGGGTACCTTCAGCGCTAGTTGTCGCAACTTGCTCACGTGCAGCACTCTTGAGTCGGCCCAACAATCTTCCCTAAAACACAGCGAATTTTTTAAAGGTTTTATTCCTGCAGAATAACAGGATACTCGCCCGTAACCACCAGGTCGAGCTCATTCCGTTGACCACACATAGGAAAAAGCGTTATTCGAATCTTCCTTTAGTTAACATATAGTAGTTTTATATATACCCAGTATAAATTATGAAAATAATCGATTTTGAAAACGAATTCACAAATTTGGAAAAGGTTCATCGATTCTAAAAAAAGTTCATCAATTTTTCAAAAAAGTTCAATAATTTTAAAAATAAGTTATCAATTTTGAGAAAAAGTTTATCGATTTTGAAGAAAGCATCTGAATTTGAAAAAAGTTCATCCGAATTTGAAAAAAAGTTCATCAATATTGAAAAAAATTCACGTTGAAAAAAGTTAATAAATATTGAAAAAAGGTCACGAATATGAAATAAAAGTTCATTGATTTGAAAAAAGTTTCATCGAATATGAAAAAAATCATCAATTTTGAAAAAATGTTCATCAAACAAGAAAGAAGAGAAATTATAAAAAGAAAAAAAACATAAAAAAGTAAAAACAGGACAAAAAGGAAGATAAGACGAGAAAAAGATGGAAGTAAGCATATCTAGTTGCGGTGGCAGGGTGGTTACTGCAGTGTGCAACTAACCAGGAAGTCCCCAGTTTGAATTGCAGCATTAGCGTTGTTTTTACGTTCTGGCAAATAAAAAAACTTGATGCGTCGGCCCAGCTCACAGGAGGAGGTGTTCGCTTCAGGCGCCCGTTCTGAATAGGACATGCCTGTCTCACTTACTCGCAAGCTAACCCAGGGGAGCAGGGGGTCCCGTTTACTCACAGGCTAACCCATGTGCCAAGATGACATGTCTCGTTTACTCGCAGGCTAACTCATAGAGCTCGTCCCACCGGGGTACATCATGGATCTAAGCCCAGATGTCAAATTTGTACAACTCAAGCGTGAATGGCTTTGCAAATCCATCATAGGAGGCTAGGATCACCGTGCATCCTCTGAAAGTCCAGGGACCGCCCTCCATAACCTTGCACCAACCCCGAAGGTAGGAGAATTGAATAGTAAAAAGATCATCCCCTAGAGATCAGAACTTGGCTTCCCTTGCTAGATCCGAGGCTATATGCATCTGCTTGTAAAAGCAAAACTCACCATCTTCTTTCTGGATGTGCAGTTATATCATGGCCAACGAGTTGAGTTCTCGGGCGGCTGATCTAGCTACTCAAACACCACATTGTCGAAGTCGGTCTCCGACAATCCTAGCTTTTCCATCATCTTGTCGAGATCTTTCTTTTCCCGATCAACACTACCAGATCTGTATTGCGAACCCAATGCCATGGCCAAAACCTTAACACATGGGCAGGAAACTCTCTTACCTTCGACAGCCAAAAACCTACCACCGAAGAACGACGCAAAGACCAGGCGGCGACACGAGGGTCACCCCTGAAGCAGTCCGAACAATCATTTCCGGAGAGGAGGATAGGATCTGGATGGGGATAGGTCTCAATGCCGGCAGAAGCGGCGAGAGTAGCAAACCCTAACATGAGGGGAGAAACTAACATGAGTTACACACTTCGTTTAGCTACTTAAGATGGTGTTTCGCACTTTGATAGTCTTTTTGTTTAATAAATGATTGTGCGCATCGCTTGAGACAGAGGCCGGCGTAATCCTCTTTTTCGGGAAAACGTATTTCGTCTTCCTTCAGCGACCGGTCATTGTTTCCTTCGATCCGGTTTGAGACGGGTCGATCGGCCAGAGCTTGTTAGGTGGTATGTGTACATAGGATACTTGAGTTGGCGACCTCTTCTAGATATCAGCGACCGGTCATTGTTTCCTTCGATCCAGTTTGAGACGGGTCTATCGGCCAGAGCTTGTTAGGTGGTACGTGTACATAGGATACTTGAGCTGGCGACCACTTCTAGATATCAGATGACCCTTACATGTGGGACCCACCATGCATGCATTTTTCTGTTGGTACATTTGGCTTACGCTTAGATAAACGTGATTGAATACTTTGACATTTGCTGCTCTGCTGAAGATATAGATCTAAGGCAACTCCATTGTGCTTCACCAAACAGACCATACCAAATGGTCACGGACAGTGGTTAGCGAGACGCCATTCAACTCTATACATCAAATGTCCGTTTAAGGCCTTGCGTCAAAACACTAGTAATCCACGCACACATACGTACATGCTAAGGTGCTGCAAGGACCAGCTCTGGAAGTTACAGCAATGGCAGCTAGGTCGTTGCTTCCGGCCGTTCTCCTCCTGGGCCTCCTCTTAAGCCGCGCCGGCTCCATCCCTCCGCCGGAGCCGGTGGTTTGCGCCCGTGGCATGTCCGACTGCACCGTCACCAACGTGTATGGCTCTTTCCCGGACCGCACCATCTGCCCCGCGGCCAACGCCACGTTCCCGCGCACCGAGGAGGAGCTCGTGGCCGCCGTGGCGGCTGCCGCGGCGATGAAGCGCAAGGTGAAGGTGGCCACCAGGCACTCCCACAGCTTCCCCAAGCTAGCCTGCCCTGGCGGCCGCGAAGGCACGATCATCAGCACGGAGCGGCTCAACCGGACGGTGAGCGTCGACACTGCCAAGGGGCTGATGACCGTCGAGAGCGGCATGGTGCTCCGGGACCTGATCCACGCCGCCGCAGCCGCCGGTCTCGCGCTGCCGCACTCGCCGTACTGGTACGGCCTCACCATCGGGGGGCTGCTCGCGACGGGCGCGCACGGGAGCTCGCTGTGGGGAAAGGGCAGCGCCGTGCACGAGTACGTGGTCGGGATGAGGATCGTGACGCCGGCGCCAGCGAGCCAGGGATTCGCTGTGGTCAGGGAGCTCGGCTCCAAGCACCCTGACCTCGACGCGACCAAGGTCTCCCTCGGCGTTCTTGGCGTCGTCTCCCAGGTATGAACCTACGTGGCTACAGGTGCTGGTTCCTTCGGATCCATCCATGCGCATGATACATGTATGTATGTACTGTGAAATGTATTAGCTGTTGCATCTATGGAGATTAACCACTACGGAGTAGTACCATCTTATTGCCTTGGAGTGAAAGATAAGTTTACTTAACTATGGCTTTTAATTGGATCTAGTTAGTCGTTGCTGTTAGTTCACGTACGGTTTTTGCAAAATCTCATTCGGTGAGGTTTCGTCCAGGTTTTGAGCCATTCGATGTCTCCGCCTGTAGGTTTTCACGTCCATATGTTTCGTGAGAGATCAGATCAGTGCGTCGATGTACACGCAAGGAAAACTCAGGCGGCTTAAATGTAGACGAACTTGTTAACTAATCCTTCCTTCTTTGGTGTCATGTGCAGGTTACTCTGCAGTTGCAGCCGATGTTCAAGCGCTCGGTCACGTTCGTGGAGCGCGACGACTCAGACTTCGCGGCGCAGGTGGCTGTGTGGGGCGATCGGCACGAGTTTGGCGACATGACGTGGCTGCCGTGGCAGGCCAAGGTCATCTACCGCGAGGACGGACGCGTTGATGTCTCATCGCCTGGCAATGGCTTCAACAACTACCTCGGCTTCCGCTCTAACCCGACGCTCGGGCTCATCATTGCCAGAGCCGCGGAGGAGCGCCTAGAGGAGGACGGCGACGACATCGCACGGTGCCTGGCGGCGCTGGTGCCCGCAACGACGTTCAAGCTGCAGGGGTACGGCTTCACGAACGACGGCTCCTTCTTCACCGGATACCCGGTGGTCGGGTACCAGCACCGCATCCAGGCGTCTGGCACATGCATTGACGGCAAGGAGGACGGGCTCCTTTCCTCGTGCCCGTGGGACCCACGCATCCGGAGCTTCTTCTTCTACAACTCTGGCTTCAGTGTTGCGCTCTCCAAAGCTCCGGCATTGGTTGCCGACATGCGGCGACTCGGTGACCTCAGCCCGCGTGCCTTATGTGGTTTGGACGCCAAGATGGGTCTGCTCGTCCGCTATGTCAGGGCCTCATCTGCCTACCTCGGCAAGGTGGAGGACTCGGTCGACTTCGACATCACCTACTACCGGAGCTACACCGAAGACACGCTGCGAGCGCATTCTGATGTAATCGACGAGCTCGAACAACTAGCTTTGCGAAAGTACAACGCCGTCCCACACTGGGGCAAGAACCGCAACTTTGCCTTCGACGGTGCCATCACCAAGTACGCAAAGACCGGCGAGTTCCTCAAGGTGAAGGAGAGGTATGACCCTGACGGGATCTTCTCTAGCGAGTGGAGCGACCAGGTGCTTGGCATCAAGGGGAGCCCAAACATTGTCCAGAAGGGTTGCGCCATGGAAGGGTCCTGCATCTGCTCTGACGAGTCGCACTGCGCGCCAGAACAGGGCTATTTCTGTCGGCCGGGAAAGGTGTATGCAGAGGCGAGGATTTGCTCGCTCCAACCTGCCTCTGGACACACGCACACCAATCACCAGGATGAACTGTGATTGAAATAGATAATTGAAACTCCATTTTACAACAAAAAATAGATAATCGAAGCTCGATGTATGGGTCAAGAAGCTCTGCAATCTAATGTTGAATTAGTACGTTTTTTGTTAGTGGTTTGTTAATATTTTTCACTTTCGTCCATAGAATTATCTCTATGTACGCTTCTATAGATTTATCTCCATGTTTGTTTCCCTTGAATTGTTGTATGTGTACTTTACTTCACGTTATGTTTTCATTGAATTTTAGTTCCATGTGTACTTACTTCACTTGCGTTATGCAAAAGATGTTTTTGTCGGCAAGATTTTGGATAAGGCGCGGAAAAAATGGTTACCGGACGGTAACCATAAATCCCAATACCCCACGAAAAATCGCCTTAGGGCATTTTCAACACGGACCCTCAAACCACCCGCAGCCGGGTGTGTATCAGTCCGTTTGGCGGTCCGGACGTATTTTCTCCCGCAAACCGAAGACAAACTGGGGGCTTCACGCACGTCCGGACCGTTGTCACGCCCACGTCTGATTGCCCTGGCCCATCAAAAAGCCCCCACCCTCGCCCGCGCGCGCTTCCCACCCGGCGTCAGTTGCGCATTCATGTCGCTGGAGAGCGGCCGCTCCGCGTTGACGCCAACGCATATCGAATGCGACCTCTCACTACCATCATTGAAGCTGCGCGACAGCTGAGAGAGCGCCGCCCATTGCACACCCGGCTGAACACACCTCCTCGCCGTTGAAAATATGCCCTAGAGGCAATAATAAAGTGGTTATTATTATATTTCCTTAATAATGATAAAGGTTTATTATTCATGCTAAAATTGTATTGACCGAAAACTTAAATACATGTGTGAATACATAAACAAATACCGTGTCCCTAGTAAGCCTCTACTAGACTAGCTCGTTGATCAAAAGAGGGTTAAGGTTTTCTAACCATAGACATGTGTTGTCGCTTGGTAACGGGATCACATCATTAGGAGAATGATGTGATGAACAAGACCCATCCGTTAGCTTAGCATATGATCATTCAATTTATTGCTACTACTTTCTTAATTTTAAATAAATATTCCTTCGACCATGAGATCATGCAACTCCCGGATACCGAGGAATACCTTGTTTGCTATCAAACGTCACAACATAACTGGGTGATCATAAAGGTGCTCTACAGGTATCTCCGAAGGTGTCTGTATAGTTGGCATAGATCGAGATCCGAATTTTTCACTCCGTATGACGCTCTGGGCCCTCTTGTTAATACAGCATCACAAGAAGCTTAAAAGCAAAGTGACTAAGGAGTTAGTTACAAGATGATGTATTACGGAACGAGTAAAGAGACTTGCCGGTAACGAGATTGAACTAGGTATGGAGATACTGACGATCGAATCTCGGGCAAGTAACATACCGACAGACAAAGGGAACTACGTATGTTGTCATACAGGTTCGACTGATAAAGATCTTCGTAGAATATTTGGGCATCCAGTATTGGGGAACGCGGTAATTTCAAAAAAATCCTACAATCACGCAAGATTTATCTAGGAGATGCATAGCAACAAGAGGGGAGATTGTGACCACGTACCCTCGTAGACCGAAAGCGGAAGCGATATGACAACGCGGTTGATGTAGTCGTACGTCTTCAAGGTCCGACCGATCCTAGCACCAAAGATATGGCATCTCCGCGATCTGCACACGTTCAGCTCGGTGATGTCCCATAAACTCTAGATCTAGTTGAGGTCGAGGGAGAGTTTCGTCAGCACGACAGCATGGTGACGGTGATGATGAAGTTACCGGCGCAGGGCTTCGCCTAAGCACTACGACGATATGACCGAGGTGGAAATCTGTGGAGGCGGCACCGCACATGGCTAAAAGATCAACTTGATCATTTTGTGTGTCTATGGGGTGCCCCCCTCCCTGGTATATAAAGGAGTGGAGGAGGGGGAGGGCCGGCCCTCTATGGCGCGCCCAAGGGGGGGAGTCCTACTCCCAGTAGGAGTAGGTTTCTCCCTTTCCCTAGTTGGAGTAGGAGAAGAAGGAAGAGGGAGAGGGGGAGAAGGAAAGGGGGGCGGCCCCCTTCCCAATTCGGATTAGGCTTGGGGGGGCGCCCCCACCTTGGCCGCCTCCTCCTCTCTTCCACTATGGCCCATTAAGGCCCATTGAATCCCCGGGGGATTCCGGTAACCTCCCGGTACTCCGGAAAAATGCCCGAACCTCTCGGAACCTTTCCGGTGTCCAAACATAGCCTTCCAATATATCAATCTTTATGTCTCGAATATTTAGAGACTCCTCGTCATGTCCGTGATCACATCCAGGACCCCTAAAAACCTTCGGTACATCATATCACATAAACTCATAATACCAATCGTCATCGAACGTTAAGCGTGCGAACCCTACGGGTTCGAGAACTATGTAGACATGACCGAGACATGTCTCCGGTCAATAACCAACAGCGGAACCTGGATGCTCATAATGGTTCCTATATATTCTACGAAGATCTTTATCGGTCAAACCGCATAACAACATACGTTGTTCTCTTTGTCATCGGTATGGTACTTGTCCGAGATTCGATCGTCGGTATCTCAATACCTAGTTCAATCTCGTTACCGGCAAGTCTCTTTACCCGTTCCGTAATACTTTATCCCGTAACTAACTCATTAGTCACAATGCTTGCAAGGCTTATAGTGATGAGTATTACCGAGAGGGCCAGAGATACCTCTCCGAAACACGGAGTGACAAATCCTAATCTCGATCTATGCCAACCCAACAAAGACCTTCGGAGACACCTGTAGAGCACCTTTATAATCACCCATTTACGTTGTGATGTTTGGTAGCACACAAAGTGTTCCTCCGGTATTTGGGAGTTGCATAGTCTCATAGTCTGAGGAACTTGTATAAGTAATGAAGAAAGCAGTAGCAATGAAACTGACACGATCATAATGCTAAGATAATGGATGGGTCATGTCCATCACATCATTCTCCTAATGATGTGATCCCATTCATCAAATGACAACACATGTCTATGGTTAGGAAACATAACCATATTTGATTAACGAGCTAGTCAAGTAGAGGCATACTAGGGACTATATGTTTTGTCTATGTATTCACACATGTACTAAGTTTCTGGTTAATACAATTCTAGCATGAATAATAAACATTTATCATGAATTAAGGAAATAAATAATAACTTTATTATTGCCTCTAGGGCATATTTCCTTCAGTCTCCCACTTGCACTAGAGTCAATAATCTTACATAGTAATGATTCTAACACCCATGGAGCTTTGGTGCTGATCATGTTTTACTCGTGGAAGAGGCTTAGTCAACGGGTCTGCAACATTCAGATCATGTGTATCTTGAAAATTTCTATGTCCCCCTCTGACACTTGATGACAGATGGAATTGAAGCGTCTCTTGATGTGCTTGGTTCTCTTGTGAAATCTGGATTCATTTGCTAAGGCAATTGCACCAGTATTGTCATAAAAGATTTTCATTGGACCCGATGCACTAGGTATGACACCTAGATCGGATATGAAATCCTTTATCCAAACTCCTTTATTTGTTGCTTCTGAAGCAGCAATGTACTCCGCTTCACATGTAGATCCCGCCACGACGCTCTGCTTGGAACTGCACCAACTGATAGCTCCTCCATTCAATAAAAATACATATCTGGTTTGTGACTTAGAGTCATCCGGATCAGTGTCAAAGCTTGCATCGACGTAACCGTTTACGACGAGCTCTTTTTCACCTCCATAAACGAGAAACATATCCTTAGTCCTTTTCAGGTATTTCAGGATGTTCTTGACCGCTGTCCAGTGCTCCACTCCGGGATTACTTTGGTACCACCCTGCTATGCTTATAGAAAGACATACATCAGGTCTGGTACACAGCATTGCATAGATGATAGAACCTATGGCTGAAGCATAGGGAATGACTTTCATTTTCTCTCTATCTTCTGCAGTGGTCGGGCATTGAGTCTGACTCAACTTCACAACTTGTAACACAGGCAAGAACTCTTTCTTTGACTAATCCATTTTGAACTTCTTCAAAACTTTATCAAGATGTGCTTTGTGAAAGTCCAATCAAGCGTCTTGATCTATCTCTATAGATCTTGATGCCCAATATGTAAGCAGCTTCTCCGAGGTATTTCATAGAAAAAATCTTATTCGTGTATCCCTTTATGCTATCCAGAAATTCTATATCACTTTCAATCAACAACATGCCATCTACATATAAGATTAGAAATGCTACAGACCTCTCACTCACTTTCTTGTAAATATAGGCTTCTCCAAAAGTTTGTATAAAACCATATGATTTGATCACACTATCAAAGCGTTTATTCCAACTCCGAGAGGCTTGCACCAGTCCATAAATGGATCGCTGGAGCTTGCACACATTGTTAGCACCCTTTGGATCGACATCCATTTGCCAAATTTCATAATCATAAAATGCAGCTATTGCTAACATGATTCGGATAGACTTAAGCATCACTACGGGTGAGAAAGTCTCATCGTAGTCAACTCCTTGAACTTGTTGAAAACCTTTCGCAACAAGTCGAGCTTTGTAAACAGTAACATTACCGTCTGCGTCGGTCTTCTTCTTAAAGATCCATTTATTTTCTATGGCTTGCCGATCATCAGGCAAGTCCACCAAAGTCCACACTTTGTTCGCATACATGGATCCCATGTCACATTTCATGGCTTCAAGCCATTTCGCGGAATTTGGGCTCATCATCGCTTCCTCGTAGTTCGTAGGTTCATCATGGTCTAGTAACATGACTTACAGAAAAGGATTACCGTACCACTCTGGTGCAGATCTCACTCTTGAAGACCTACGAAGTTTGACAGTAACTTGATCTGAAGTTTCATGATCATCATCATTAGCTTCCTCACTAATTGGTGTAGGAATCACGGGAACTGATTTCTGTGATGAACTACTTCCAAAAAGGGAGAAGGTATAGTTACCTCATCAAGTTCTACTTTCCTACCACTCACTTCTTTTGAGAGAAACTCCTTCTCTAGAA